TTTTTTTTTTTTTTTTTGGTGGCGGGAAAAGTGGGTAGAGGTTGGAGGGGCTTGAAGAATTGTTGCAGTAGTTCTCTCTATTCCTCGCTCCAGAAGGTAGCTAGCTCTAAACGTGTTACAGATGGTGTTAGGCGCGGCCAATCTCGGGACCTTAAGTCTGAGACGTTTTCTCTTCAGGTCGACAACCAACTCTTACCCCTGCTCCTTAGAACCTCTAACCGCAGACTTACCCTCGACCAACAGAAGTAACCCAATTCTTTCATACTGGCGGGCAACGACGGTCTGAGCGAGAATGTGGATCCTGGGGCCTAGCGGGAGGGGCAGCCGAGGGGAAATTATCTCCTGATAGGATTCTTGATTGGGGAAGAGAAGCTAGAAAGACACAGTTTTACCCTTGGAGGGGCGTCAAGGACTTTTGACTCTGTGATACTCCAGTCTTAATTGCTGTCCTTAAGAGAGATTTGGTGAGGGAAGAGCGAGGAAAAATTGGGATTACAAAAAAATTCTTCCTTGCAGTTTTAAAGGTGGAATTAAGGCCTTTTACTGTTCCAAACCTTGGCATCCTTAGAGGAAAAATGGTGTGGGGATCTGGAAGTTGATGGAAATGTGCTCCTTTAAGTGAAAACAACACAAAAAGGCTAGTTGGAGGTGGGTAACAAGGGCACATGTGGAAACATCTTTGGCGGTAGGGCACATGTGGAAATATCTTTGGCGGTAGATAGCAGGAATAAGATCAGAGTCCTGAAAGAGTCTGTACTTTTGTGATAAGTGGCCATACCTCTGTGCTTCCTTGCGCTGTCTGAACCAAGAAGTTTTAGTTCACCATTTATTTATACGATTTTGTAAAAGGTTTAGGTTAACTACAGTAGTTATGACAGTAATGTCAGGTACTCTAGTATAGGCAGTAGGGTGGCTGGAATCTTTTTCCTTCTGTCTTGTTAAATGTTTTAAATCATGCTCGCTGAGCACAGAAGAAAAAACTGTTACTAATCGAGGCATGAAAATAAGCAGAGGTCTACATGGCATTAGATATTAAAGCCAAAGGGAAATCCAACTCCAGCTTAAAGGAGCTTTTAAATATAGCCTTTAAATACAGGTTTTTGAGACTTACGGAGTCTATGTTAGAGGACAATTCTAAAGGGTTTATTTTTATTCTCTTAGACCAAGGATTCCAGGAACAATATAAAGAGGGAATAATTGGATAGTCAGGAGGGGGAACTTTGTGAACACATTCTAATGGGGGGAGGAGGGAGGAGAATTAATGCTTTCTGAAAAATATTGACAAGGCTGAATTAGGTTATTTAGCTAGACCAGTTCTCAAACATGTTATACTCTTTCGTACTCTTAAAAAAACTGTGAAGGACTCCAAAGATTGGTTTATGTTTATGGCAGAAATTAAACAAACATTTAAACAATTTATTAATGTTAAAATAACGATAAACCCATTACATGTTAAAAATTTAATAAATAATGTATTTTCCTAAACAAAAGGAAAGTTAGCATGAACATGGTGGTGTTTTACATTTTTGCAGTATCTTTCATGTCTGGCTTAATAGAAGACAGCTGAATTTTCATCTGTTTCTGAATTCAGTCTGTTATGATACAGGCATACCTTGCTTTATTGCACTTCCCTTTATTGTGCTTCACAGGTGTTTTTTTTTACAAATTAAAGGGAAGACCCTCCACCAGCAAAAAGATTACCACTTGCTTTACTGTGGTACTCACTTTATTATGGTGGTTTGGAACCAAATCTGCCAATATCTCCAAGGTATGCTTGTATCTTGTTTTGGTTGAAGTATATGAGAAAATCCAGTCTAACACAGATAAGTAGTTGGAAAAGGGAGAGGACCCCCAGGAGTCTTTGGATGGCACTTTGAGAACTGCAGAGCTAGGTGATTTTATCTTAAAACCAATGTGATAATTTTTTAGTGTTTAAGTGAAAGAAAACTTTCTATTTCTTGGAACACCTCAGTCACCTTCCCTTGGTTGTTTATTTGTTGTTTCTAAGTTCTTTTTCCCTTCTTATTCACACTTCTTTTTTATGTTGATGAACAGCATCTGGTTTATGGATCTTTCCTTTACTTTTATACTTGAAGTGTTACTGCCCCCCCCTCCCCCCTTTCATCTAAGGTAAGAAAAGAGAAATTAAAACCTCAGTTGTTATTCCTGGGTATGGAGTCCCCAGTCTTTTAGTAGCTGGTCAGATGAAAGTTGGTGGTATTTCATACATTAATTAACTGTTTTAAAAATACTTCTCTCTCTGAACTAGATTTCAATATTTGTTATTGTGGAAGAAAATAATTAGTCTGGAACAGAGGAGCAGAAACTTGAGTTGTCAGTGACTTCCTGGCTTTCCTTTCTCTATTGATCAGGTTAGAGATTTTCTTTAAAAGTAATGTTCTTCATCACACCCCCACTCTAGATTAAGGGGAACTGTTACACGTTGTTGCTTATAGATTTACTACAGTTTATTAACTTAATAATTATCCACAATTTTGTCCAGTTGGTTGGGGCTCCAGTAACACACTTTTGCCTAGAGAGGTCAGTATAGGCTTAGATAATGATTCAAACCTAACTATTGGAAATATTTGCATTTTTAGGTTGATCAAAATACCCTTTATTTTATTTAAAGAATTTAGAATTTTAAAAAATCGCTTTTGAAGTGATAATATGTGTATGCAATAAAATGCTAGAGATGCGTAAGGGGGTACAGTAAAAAGCTCCCTTCTACACAGTTCCACTCTCCAGAGGCATCTTATAAAGATAAGTATTATAAAAAAGGAAATATCACCTCAAATCTACTAATTTTCATTTCTCATTTAGTATAGCTCTTCTTGAAATTTATATTCATAGGGATTTCTCATGATTATTTTTGGGATTCTGGAGTCTGAGAGAAGATGTTTGTCATTTGTGGTCAAGTTAATATGTGTATATGTGTGTATATATATGTGTTATATATATATATATATATATATATTTAAAAATATATCTTTATTGATTTCAGAGAGAGGAAGAGAGAGAGATAGAAACATCAATGATGAGAGAGTCATCGATAGGCTGCGGCCTGCAACCCGGGCATGTGCCCTGACGGGGAATCGAACCCCTATCTCCTGAATCCTAGGTTGACGTTCAACCACTGAGCCACACCCTGCTGGGCTAAATTGATATTCTTTTTGCAGCCAATTTTATTCAGTTTCTAGCTTCTATTTAGGATTATCATAAAGAAGGAGACCAATTTGCTGTGGTGGTTCTCTCCCAATTTCCCATTTGCCTTTTTTCTTAGAGCAAATAAATTTGGGGGTTGGCGGTGGTGAGTTATGATGGAAAAAGTGAGAAAATGTGCTCCTTAATATAAAGAAAAAGTAGTTATTGCAGAACAGCACATTGGAATTATCAACATTTATAGAATGAAGAAAAGGAACAGAAAAATACCAAAAGATAATTTAAAAATACTTTGCACTCAGCTATGCTGTAGCCACACTAAGTCAAGCCCCAACACCTTTGGAATTCATCTTAGAGATCAGGGAGAGGAACTTTACACCCCAAACAACTAGCTTGGCCATTTGAAGGTCTTAAAATTTTCAGGTCCTTTAAAGGGAACTGTATATAAACTAAAAGATCCATTTTATACTGCTTTTGGGTTTCTTTATAAGTGAGAGATAGCAGAGTTGGAAGATTGAGTTTCAAGTCCAGGGCCTTCAAAGTACTCAAAAACCAACAGTCAGAAATAAGATCCTTGAGAAGAATAGATGTGGTATTAGTAGAATTTAAAAGCCAAAGGCCTGGGTTCAACTTAGCTCTACCATGTATTAACACTGAAGCTTTGGATAAACCACTTAACCTCTCTTTGCATATTTTTCATCTGTAAAAAGGGGAGATGGTATTTTATGGCCTCTAAAGACCCTACCAGAGTTACAGTATAGTACAGTACAGTGTTTATTATAACTGATACAGAAATAAGAGTGAATTAATTATATGCTTTAACTCTAAAGAAAACTGGGTAGAAGGTTATAAATTTAGGCTGATGAAACAAAAAGGGATTCTAACCAATGGATAGAAATAATATCAATAGTGTAAAGTGTAAATTGGAAAAATGTACAGATTATTGGAACATCACCCACAAGTTGAATCTCAGCACTCTGCCGGGCCACAGATGGCTTATAATTGTGTTGTGTGGGTATACTAATCTCTTCAGCACTTAAAACACTAAGGATTATTTCTAATCTTTAAAACAGTAACTAATTATCCCCTGGCATGTTAGTGGCATTGCTGAGAAGACAGAAGTGTAGTCAAGAAGGCAGAAAATGTAGTTCAGGAGTTCCAGGAAAAGAAATCCTGAGCCCAATACAGGAGGACAGGAAGAGAAGAAAGTTTAAACTCATGTTCAATCAGAGTCATAGCAGTTCATTTCTTTTTTCTAACAGAGGAACAAAAAAAGTGTAGCTTCTGAGCTGAATGATGACAACATTGCATAGTAAAGAAGGTGAGTCAAGAGTGAGGGAGGTTCATTTTATGCATTTCTTTCATTTTTCCTTTCTGTCTCAGTTCTTGGTCATCTGGACCAAGGGGTTTAGATTCCCACCAAAGGGAAGCTCGGTTCACATACATTTTGTGTCCACTTTGTTAAAGTTACTACGTTTCTAGACACTGAGTGAAACATATATCTTAGAAACAGTCCTGCTCAAGGAATGTATGAAATCATAGGGAGAGAAAATACATTTAAATATCTATAACATAAATTTGAATGGGGTGAATGCTACCAGGCAGGTACAAAGTGTTATGGGAGCTCAGAAGAAAGAGATATTATACCTGGGAGGATCACTACACTTTTCATTGTATCATCTGTAGATTTTGACTAGTTTTTTCATTTTTCTCTTAATTTCCCATAAAATTTTGTCCAAAGTTAAAATAAATTAAAAAATTTTTACATTTGAAGAATTCTTTTTCCCACATGCTTATATTTATCATATTTATTACCTTTGAATTACTCAGTGATTCCTAAGCCTCAAAGTACATTAGAATAATCTAGATAATCTTGTAAAATTACAGATTCTTGGGCCTCGCTTCAAAATATTTCATTAGAACCTCAGGACAGGGGAGGTGAGGGTGGGTGAGGAAAGACCTAGAAATCTGAATTTATTAAAATAATTCTCCAGATAATTCTGATAAGGTTAATCAGTTGGCAGTGTTTGGCAGTCTCTGTGTTAGACTCTATTGTTTCATAAATTCCATTTGATAATCAAATTTCTTTCAGAATATGGGAAAGGATCAAAAAAAACCTTCACCCCACCTGCTCAAAAATTGCATAGCCTGATGCCCTATAACCCTAACTTACCCAAAGAGAAGACCTTGGGGATCAGTTCTCTGGAGGCAGAGTCCAGAGCAAACCTGCTAAAGGCCAGGTTAGAGAAGAAGGAGGAGGAAGAAACCACAGAAAATGGTCCAAGCAGTTGCCAGGAGAAAAAAGTAAAGGCTCAAGACAATAAGCAAGCAGAGAAGAAAGAAAAGGTATCAATCATACTGATGGGCTCTAGTGGGACAATTCCTTCTAGTCACCCATCCTGGACATGTTGGGGAAATTCATCTTGTAGTTTCAGTTTTTAATTCCTTTTTTGGGACTTCCATTTTTTTCTGAAAGCGGTAAAAAATGTTTTGATGAAATCATTTACCAGGAAATAATGGGTAGGTAGGTAGGGACTGAGTTGGGATGGAGATGAGAGTAGAGGTGTACAGAAATTTAATCAACTTTTTCCTTTTTTTTGACTCCTTTATTCCCAGATCTGGGATAGAGTTTATGGAGTCCTTATGTACGATTGACTTCATGCTCTCAGCCTTGTGAATTTACTGCCTCATCTAAAGGAGGCTTTTCTGACTGGCCAGAGAGGAGAACTGGGAAAAGATGAGCAGTTTTCCTTCCCTACCCTTGTCTCTACAGGAAAAATCAAGCCTTACCAATGAAGAGTTTGAGGAGATTGTCCAGATTGTGCTACAGAAGTCACTTCAACAGTGCTTAGGTATGGCTTATGGTGAGAGAAAAAAAGTTTCAGTTAGGCAGAGAAACTGTTACCTGAGAAGTAGAGTAAGTTGACAGCTTCCCCCTTCCCTCCATCTTCCTAAGTAAGAAAATGTTAGATGGGACTCTGAAGTATTTTAAAATACTTCATCTTCTATCAACAGGACTATAACTAAACCACCTTAGATAGGGGGTACAGACTTTAGAAAAGGTAGATTACACTGACTTCAGAATGTAAATAGAGTCTCATCTAGATTTTTAAATGTAACTTAAATTCATTTCTGTATGTTCAGATTCTACTTAGAAAAGATAAATTATTTTTCCCAGGTTTGAAGAACTTATTTTCCATCTACCCTTGTTTATTTTCTGTTTCCCATAGTGTTTTAACATATGCTCAAGGATTTGATTTTTAGAACAAAGTACATTATAGCATAGACCCTGAGACCCTAGCAATAAGGTCATGAGACTAAGAGGAATGGTCTGACATTTTCAACTTTTCTTAGGTGTACTTCTATTCCTAGAGGAAAGTTTGAGGAACAAATGATATAAAACACAGTATATAAAGTAAAATTAACATCACCTGGTTATTCTGGAATAAGGCAGATCAATCTTGAAAGGCTTTTATAAGGACATAGATTTGTAGTTTTTCCTGAAAATTTAAAGACTTAAAATTTTATGATATGACAAAAATCCAAAAGTAGACTCTTCCAGGCAACAGGTGGAAGACATTTTAATGAAAGGTTACAGTTTGGAAATAATGGAATGGTTATTTTTTAAAATTGCTTCTCTGCTTATAGCATTTTGTTTTGGAAGGGATAGAATCTAGCCTTAATTTTGCAGAGACTTCCTGTGTCCAGCCCATAAGATGTACCCAGTTAGATAAGGAACCAGCAATTGCTTCTTCTACTGATAATGATAATGCTGATAGGTAAGTTTATCCCTGTAAAGTGAGTTGATCACAGGGTGGACTTAATATTTATAAATGGTTATCTACTTACCTACCTACTTACCTATCTATCTATTTGGTCATTTTTTATGTCTGTAAATTTCAGCTCAGGAAAACTACCTGTTTGAATTGGGGAAAATAGGCAAATAGATAAAATGACCTCAGGAGGACTTAGAGAGCCTAGGATTCTTCTATCCTCTTAACATTTATCCTTGGATTCTTTTACCTTTTCATTTAAAACTATCTTATTTTCAGAGAGAGGGTAATGGTACCTCATATTCTAGCAATTTTAGCCTCTCAGGAAGATGGAATAATCTCTGAGATAAACACATCTAAGCCAGGCCAACCAGATCCTGCACTCTCTGAGAAGAAATTCGGTAAACTCTCCTTAAGGAAAAGAAAGAAAGCTCGTAAGTATAGTCAGATATACTTTATACTTTGACATCTGGCTCAAGTACTTAATCCATGAAATTAGAGAATGGGACAGTGGGCAGGCTGAGAATTTCCGACCTAATGCTTGAAATTATCATGCTATGATTCTTATTCCTTCATCTTTCTTTCTGCTTTACTATCTACAAAGAATCTCTCCCACATCTCCCTACCCTACAGTGTTTTATCTCCCTAGAAGATGAGAAAATGAAGAAAGCCCAACATGGACATGAGCATAGACAGAAAGACCAACCAAAGAAAATTGTTCAGGATCATTCTCAGATGAGGGACCAACGAAAAGGAGAGGAAAGTGGTTTTGGTGAGTTTAGCCATGGTTTGGAAAAGCTACTTGGACTTGAAAACTGGAGATGAAGGAGAGAGGCAAGGGTTAGAATGTTAGAGGGAATTCTGCAAAGATTAGATTAATTTCTCACAGCTACCTCTTAGAGGATATGCTACTGAGGAAGAGAGAGAAATATTTAATTCATTCAGTTATTCATATAATCTGTAGTTTTTGGGTGCCACTATATACTAGGCATTTTAGGAGGTGCTGGATAAGTGCAGAGGAAATGAAGATAAGCCTACCATAAGGGAGATAGGCTTCTAGGGAAAGCAGACAAGAAAGCTACAAGTTGGGAGTATACCTGGAAAAGTTTCTAAAAAAAGATACTGCCTGAGCCAGAACTTGAGGTATAATTTAGTCAGATGAACCAAGGTGGAAATGGGGGTAGATCAGAGTGATCATTATTTTCAGAGTTATGGAGGAGGGCTAATGTCGGTAGCTTTTGATTGTGCTGTGGGGTAGGAGGTTGCAGGGGTGAGGGGGATAAGGCTAGAGACATGCAAGAGCCAGATCATAAAGAGCCTTACATGTGAAGCTAAGGGATTTGGATTTTATTTTACAGATAAAGAGGAACCATTTTAAGTAGGGAAAATTTGATAAGATTTACATTTTATTTTTTTTTAAACATATCTTTATTGATTTCAGAGAGAGGAAAGGAGAGGGAGAGAGGGAGATAGAAACATCAGTGATGAGAGAGTCATTGATTAGCTGACTCCTGCACGCCAACTGGGGATGGAGCCCACAACCCGGGCATGTGCTCTGACTGGGAATCGAACCCCAATCTCCTGGATCCTAGGTCGATGCTCAACTGCTGAGCCACGCCCAGCTGGGCGATAAGATTTACATTTTAGAAAGCTCACTTTGGCACCAGCATGGAAGATGGGTTACTGGGAACAAGACTAGACTCAGAAATAGTAATCCCAGCAAGGAAGATAGAGAATAGCAATGATGAGGAAGAGACAAATATGAGATCTTTAGGAAGCAGGATCAATATGATATGGTTGCCAGCTGGATATGAGAGCTGAGGAAGAATGAGGCTTCAGCCTCTAGGATGATCCTGTTTTCTGGCATGAGTGACTGAGTAGCTAAAAGAACTATGATCTAAAATGGAGAATATAGGCCGGGTGGGTGTGGCTCAGCGGTTGAGCATCGACCTAGGATCCAGGCGATCGGGGTTCGATTACCGGTCAGGGCACATGCCTGGGTTGCGGGCTCCATCCCCAGTCGGGGGCATGCAGGAGGCAGCTGATCAATGACTCATCATTGATGTTTCTCTCCGTCTCCTTTCGTCTCTGAAATCAATAAAGATATATTTAAAAAATAAAATNATCAGTGATGTTTCTCTCCGTCTCCTTTCGTCTCTGAAATCAATAAAGATATATTTAAAAAATAAAATAAAATGGAGAATTTAGGAGAGAGAGAAAGTTTAAGATGATGAATTCAGCTGTGGACAAGTTAGGGGGTCTTTGATGAGATTTAGAGTTCAAGAAAGAAGTCTGGGTTGGAGATAGAAATTTGGAGTCATCTGCATCGGTAGGAGTGGATGAAATTTTTCCATGAAGAAGGTAGGGAGTGAAAAGAGAACACTGAATAAAAAACCCTGGGTGGTGGAGGGGACATAATGTTTAGGAGTGAGCAGAGGAAGAGCTGCTCAGGGAAAAAACAAAGAACTAAGATAAAATTAGAAAGGTAGAAGGAAAATTAGGAGAGTGTGGTATCACAGATGCCAGGGGAGGAGAGAATTTCAAGAAAGGGAGTATTTAGCCTTGTCAAATGCTACTACAGAGACATCCAAGAGGATAAAGATTCGAAAATGCTTAACCGATATTACAGGAAGTCATTAGGGTCTTGATTAGAGCCATCATATGGATTGGTAAGGGTAAATGGCAGGTTATAGTTGGTTGAAGAATAAATACTTTTCAATTAGTTTAGATATGAAAACTAGGTGGGAGAAAATGGTAAGTTACGGGAGGAGGGGGGAGTGGGTGTAGAATTGAGGGAAAGTTTTTTTTACTTTCTTTTAAAACAAATAGACTTGACCTGTGTGTTGTCAGCATTTTTATGTGCTCAGGGAAAATTGTTTATAGAGAGGGAGAGATTGAAGGGAATGAGAAGAAAACCAGAGGATTTATTTTTAGTCAGAAAGGACAGCTTAGCCTTTGAAATTGGATGGAGGGAAGATAAGGATGGGTATAGATTTATTTATTCTTCTAACAGTAGTTATTAATGCCTTACATGCCAGGCATTGTGCTAGGTGCTGGAAATATGGTGGTGAACAAGATAGATAATCCCTGGCTTTTCAGAATTTGCAGTCTTAGTGTGTTGGACAGATAATAAACAAATATTTTGTATGAAATAACCTTGGTAATATTGAGAAATTTTAGGATAAGAACTAAAATAGATCATACAACATATTAGTATGTTTAAAACTTTGAAAATAAGTAGAATTAACAGTCTGGGGGGAAACAGTCTTGTGCCCAAAAAAACAGAACCCAAAGTGTAATGAACAAAGGAATAAATAATCAACTAGTGCCTAACGTGTGTGTGTATAAATTTAATTATAGAAGCATAATATGGTTCGTACATACTTAAAAGAAGACTCTAGCAAGACTATGCGGACATCAGACAAGGTAGTTCAGGGCAATAAACCACTCCTCAAGTTATTATGACATGATAATATAATGAACTGGAGGAATTAGTCCAATTTGGGCAGTTGGGGTGGGGAGGATCCATCTCCTGAACCTCTCAGTATTAGGGCAAGGATTGGACTTTAGACTGGAAGACCTTAGGCAGTGGTTATGAGTCAGATTGTGATTGTAGTGAATGTGTAAGTCTCTTGCTATAAAAGAACTATTCTTCCTGTTTCTTACAGTTGCCAAGGAGAGGTGAGTCCTCCTACAGTAGGAAGTTGAAAGGGAAGTATCTGATAAATACAATCAATTTTTGTTAAGTACTATGAAAGAAAAAAATGGAGTGTCATGAAAGGAAATAATGGAGACCTATTTAAAATTGGGTCAGCCAGGGAATTCATTTGTAAGGAAATGACATTTAAGCTGAAACCTGAAGGAAGAGTAAGAGTAGGAGAAAGAATTTTAAGTAGGGTGAAGTTTGGCATATTCCAGGTACTAAAAGAAAGCTGGTGTGATTGGAGTTCAGAGAACAAGGGGAAGCAAGGCAAGAAAGTGACTCTGGATAAATGTAAAGAGGTAGATAGTAACTAGATCAATGACCATGTTAGAAAGTGAGAATTTTTTCCTAAGTGCAGTGGGAAGCCACTGGTGGATTTTAATCAGGGGAGCGACATCATCGAGTTAATGTTTTAAAAGGATGCAATTGGATAATAGAGTATGGGGAGACAGGAGTAGACAAGTTAAGAAGTTAGTGCTAGGATTAGATATTTTGGTAGCTTGGATTAGGATGATGAAAGTGGAGACAGAGAAGTGGATGGTTTCAAGATTTGTGTTTGAGGTAACATTGTCAGAACTTGGTAATGAATAGGATATGGAGGAGGTGTGAGAGAGGGGAGAGTATGTCAAAGATAATTGGTTTCTGGCTTGAGCATTTACATGAAAGGAGGTGGGGAAAGGTGGAGGAAGAGCAAACTTGTGGGATAAGTTAAGCGTTTGGATTTAGGCCCATTAGGTTTGAGATCATTGTGAGACATCCAAATAGAGTTGTCAGTGAGCAAGATGGCTAAAGGTGTCTGGAGCTCAGAACAGAGGCTGTTAGTGTATATATCTGTGTGTTGTTGGGTATGAAAATGTATTTCAAAGCTATGGGAATGGGAGAGCTTGCCTCAGGAGAAAGTGTAACACAGGGAGCAAACACCCATGATTGGACTTTGGAACCCCAACATTTAGAGATTAAATGGAGAGCAACGAGAACCCAGTAAAGAAGACTGAGGAGGGAGTAGCCAGAAAGATGGGGAGGGGAAACAGGAGAATGAGTGATCACAAAATCCAAGGAAACTAGTATTTCAAGAATGAGAGGTCAACTGAAATGCTCTTACGTATGTATAACATCAGTCTTTTGTTTGTTTGTTTAAAATATTATAGATGTCCCTTTTTCTCCCCAGTGACCCATTCCACTCCCTCCCCTCCCCCTCCCTAGTGCCTCTCCTCACCATTGTCCGTGGGCTGTGCATATATGCATATAAATTCTTTGGTTATTCTCTCCCCCTCTATCCCTCTGACATTCGTCAGTCTGATCTATGCTTCCATGTCATTGAATTTCTTCTGTTTATCAGTTTATTAAGTTCTTTAGATTCCACATATAAGCGAGATCATGTGATATTTGTCTTTCTCTGCCTGGCTTATTTCACTTAGCATAATTTTCTCCAGGTCCATCCATACTGTTCCAAAGGGTACGAGATCCTTCTTCTTTACAGCTGCATAGTGTTCCATGGTGTATATGTCTCAAAGCTTTTTTAACCAATCATTTACTGATGGGCACTTGGGCTGTTTCCAGATCTTAGCTATTGTAAACTGAGCTGCTGTGAATATAGGGGTGCATATATTCTTTCTGATTAGTGTTTCAGGATTCTTAGGATATATTCCTAGAAGTGGGATCACTGGGTCAAAAGGCAGCTCCATTTTTAATTTTTTGAGGAACCTCCATACTGTTTTCCATAGTGGTTGCACTGGTCTGCATTCCCACCAGCAGTACACTAGGGTTCCTCTTTCTCCACATCCTCTCCAACAGGAGTCATTTGTTGATTTATTGATGGTAGCCATTCTGACAGGTGTGAAGTGATACCTCATTGTGGTTTTAATTTGCATTTCTCTGATGAGCATTTTCTCATATGTCTATGACATCAGTCTTTATTATCGTAGAGTCATGTCATGAGCCTCAAACACAGTTTTCAAGCATGTCATCTTCTCTTTCTACATTGTTTGAAAGGGAACTTTAGAGAACTGTTTATTGTTGTCATTGGAGATTTCATCCCAAGCCATAAATATCTAGTTCTTTGTCATTTGGATGACTTTTTACCTTCACTCATTTCCTTATGAATATTCATTATTTTCACAACCAACCATTTATTTTATTGACCTGTTTTTACTTTTATAGTCTCCAGCCCCTTCTCCCATTATTTTTTTCTAGTCTTGCTAGGTCATCTCTGTAAACATCCAAAAATATCACTGGCAACTGTCTTTTCAGACTAATACATCATTTCCAACCAGTACTTTGTTCTTCAAAATTAAGTTATTAAGAAAGTGACCCATGATATGCTTTTCCGAAGGATGATTTAGATGGAATGGAGGGCGTTCTTTATGCTCAGGCATTTAAGGTAAAATTTGACAGTGGGAGAGTGAACTTACTAGGGAAACGTATTGTGAATATATAGTGTACCTATGTGCTTGGTTATGTGATACTTCTCTGGTAACACTAAATTTAATGAATATAGGCACAGAAAAGGTAAAATGGGCTCATTCAGGGTTGCGTTTTACCAGCTGGGTAGGAGGAAGGACAGAGAGAAAGGGAGTTGAAGATGTCTGCAAGGGAATCTAAGAAATCAAACCTGAGTGAGTACAGAGTAAAGAAAAGAGGTTGCTACTGGATTGAGGGGAAGGTAGGAGCCAGTGGATCAGGGATCTAGATAAAGTGAAAGTTGCTATAGGGGTCTTTGAACAAGTGAAGTAGAAGGATGGAATTTTTATTAGAGAAGGGTATTTGGATAAGTGGTTCAAGGGAGTGTGTGGTCCCTACAGATGCCTGGGTGGGGCATGCAAGGGTAGGAGTGGGTTACTAAGGTGGCATGGAGGAAAAGGTCGAGGAACTCAGAGAATGGGATGCTTTTTGAGTTACCCCTGTGGAAATAGTCGCCATTTGGAATGAGGACAGGAGGTAGAGAGGAGAAGACTGAAGAAGATATCAGTATCTTTTCAAGGGAGATGAGAGGATGGTGTAGTTCCATGGCATGGACCTCAAGGGAGGAGGGTTTTTATAGGAAGGAGGATGGTAATGGTCTGGAAGTGGCAATGGGGAATAAGGATGATGCTGAACCCATTTATCGGCCTGAGAGACATGAGATGTATGAGAAGGAACTAACTCTATTTAGAGGGCTGTGGGTGGGGTGGGGGTAGATGCAATGTCAGTGCCTCACCAGGTTTCAAAAAGGGGATAGAGGTTCAGAGAAGAGGTTGAAGATATATGGACTTTTGTTGCTTTTGTCTGGAATTCCAAAAACAGTGGAAGGGTTTAGGAGGGAAAGAGGAGAGGCTGTGTGGGGTACTGGATCAATTTAGAAAATGAAGGAATAGAGAAAGGTGAGAATGAGCGTTTGGAAGGTAAGTGATAAAAGGAATGCTTTGCCTTTCAACAGAGCCTGAAGTAAATAGTTGATTGAGAAATGATGGACTTAGACCTGTATCTTTTGGAGGGGGGTGAACTTGGGGCTGTTGGTCCCCAAGAGTGCAACTTGGTGACAGGTAATCTGCAGAGATTCAGATAGGAATTCTGGATGTTGTGCACAAAAATGCTGGCAGCCTTTCAAAAGAACTTTTTTCGGTATTGACATCCTAGCAGAGAGTAAGGTACTAGCCAGAAGGATGGAAGCCAACCTTTTTAAGAATTGTCAGTACAGGAAACACTCCTTTCTGCCCTGGGTGGAGGAGAGATGATAGCATGGTCTGGTAAAATACTGAAATGTGAGACCTGGGTTGTAAGTTCAGCTTTGCCACAGATTTAATCTTCAGCAAGTCAGTTATCTTCTCTGAGCCTTACTTTTCCCATTTATAAGTCAAGGATTAGACTAGGTGATCTCTAAGGCTATGGGGAGTATATTGATTTTAATTGGATTGAAGAAGGAAGAACATATTTTTGAGTCTCTTTTTTTTTCCTGTCACAGGTCAATGTCTAGTCTGGGTCCAATGTTCTTCCCCAAACTGTGAGAAATGGAGGAGGCTTCATGGGAACATTGACCCCTCAGTGCTTCCAGATAATTGGTCCTGTGACCAGAATACAGGTAGAATGGAGTGGAAATTTCTTTTTTGGTTCCACCCTTTCTTTCCCTGCACATGTCCTTTAATTATGTTGTAGGTGTAGTTTCAACTCCAGGGTTGCTTGTAGTATTTGGGGGAAAGAAAATGATCTTCCTGTCATCAAGATGAATCTGGCATATGGGCTAGAAGAAGACAACCTGAAGAGTTATGTTGTGGGAAGGGGCATGGAATCTAAATGTATATTCTGAGAGAATTCCATCTTTTCAGCATTGGTCTGACCCTGTCAGTCCTGATTAGATTATTGGTGTTGGGTTGGTGGATAGGAAGGGTTATGGAATACATAAGGAAAAACAGGTGAGAGAGATCCAGTGGCATAGAATTCTAGAATGTTTGAAACTACTTGAAAGAGATTATGATGCTCTAATTCAGCCCAATTACTTTACAAATGAGAAGACAACATCTCAGAGAAATTACAGTCATAGTGTTACATAGATGGAAGCAGGATCAGAAAATGTGGGCTATAGGAGAAGTCTGGAATCTTTTTCTCTAGACTATAAGGAGGCAGCACTCCTATTTCTCCTGGCTCTAGGCTGCATTTCCTCCATGACCCTTTGTTATTCTTCCTCCATGTCCAGGTGCCAGTTTTGGTCCCACCTGCTGCCTATATCAGTTTCTTGTTCTACCTTCTGCCCTCATCCAGGCTCTTCCCTCCCCTTCATTCCTTCTCTTTTTTGACAGACTTGGAGTACAATCGCTGTGATATCCCTGAGGAGACCTGGATAGGGCGCGAAAGTGATGTGGCCTATGCCTCCTATATCCCAGGATCCATCATCTGGGCCAAACAATATGGTTACCCCTGGTAGGGCACAGTGGCATACTCGGAGCATCCTTCATGAACTTAGGAGTGGTAGATTCAAGTAGAGAGGGAAGTAAATGGAAAACATTTACAATGGAAATGGTACCTGCCTTAGCCCTGGCCAGGTGGCTCAGTTGGTTGGAGCATTGTCCTATACACCAGAAGGTTGTGGGTTTGATTTCTGGTCAGGGCACATACCTGGGTTGTGAGTTCGATCCCCTGTTGGGGTACATACAGGAGGCAACCAATCAGTGTTTCTCCCTCACATCAATCTCTCCCCCCCCTCTAAAATTAACAAAAAAAATAAAACATATCCTCAGGTAAGAATTAAAAAAAAGAAATAAATGGTACCTGCCTTAGAAAGAGCATGGGGTGGGGGAAAAGATAAAGTACTAAGCTTGGAGGCTTTGAAAGAGCATGTTTTCTAGAGTTTCACAGTGGAGGTGGTACCTCCCTGGAAAAAAAGGGTCTAACAATTCTACCTTGAGTGGGTAGAAAGAGGAGGGTGGATCTACAGCATTTTTTAAACATTGAGATATTAGGAACAAAGTAAAGAGAACAAGGGAGGGTAGGATGGGTAATTTCTTCTTTGAAGATGTCCCTAGTCAGAAGACTTTGTTCTTAGAGTTGCTGGGAGGCCTAAGGATAAGATACTTTTACAAGAAAGTTCCTAAGCTTCTTTGTACATTGATGGAAGTCACTTCGGTCATTTGGTAGTGACCACTGGGAGGGATTGACGGGGTATTTATCTTTGGGATCCTTTGCTTACAAAACATATTGCCCCTTTCTGTACATGTATATTGATGAGTTTGTGTTTTCTGTTCATTTAACATCTTCAGGTGGCCAGGCATGATAGAATCTGATCCTGACCTGGGGGAATATTTTCTTTTTGCTTCTCATCTTGATTCCCTGCCGGTGAGTCTTTCTGATTCCGGTAGGTGATCAGGCCAAAGTAAACCAAATTCATCCTAACAGATGTACAGAGTTAGAAACATAGGCATAGCCAGCAGACATGAGCAGAAACAGACATTTAGCTAGAGTTAAGTGGGTCAGGTATAAGGGAGCAGAAGAGGCCCAGCACATCCTTCTTTGTGATTTCTCAGTTCTTCCCCTGCCTTTTCTGACTAGAGGGCCAAAGCAAGGAGAAAGACAAGAGGTCATAACATAACCATCTTTTATTTCAGTCTAAGTACCATGTGACATTTTTTGGAGAAACAGTCTCTCGTGCTTGGATCCCAGTCAATATGCTAAAGAACTTCCAGGAGCTGTCTCTGGAGCTAGCTGGAGTGGTGAGTAACCTTGGGGGTCAGCTGAAAACTAAACAGGGAACTTGAAAACTAAATCTTCCCTTATTAAACCTTATTTTCTCCCAGGGGAATCTGTATGGGGAGAAAGTCCCATGTCTGACCAAGTGTGCAAGGATGAGGTTGTTCATGAGGAACACTTCTATTTACCAGAATTGTAACATGATAGTGATTTTTCTTAGTCTCTTTCCCTGCCTTTAGATGGAAGGCCTTCCTGAAGACTCTGGCTTTCTACAGTTTAACCAAAGCAGGTCTGGCAGAAATGAGGGCACATATTAACAGGGTTTCTCAGTCTGGACACTATTGACATTTTGAGCCAAATAATTATTTGTTGTGAAGGGCTGTCCTGTGCATTGTAGGATGTTTAGCAGCATCCCTGGACTCTACTAGCAGCTAGCCAGTAGCAAGCCCCCACCCCTGGTTGTGACAACAAAAAAGTTGTCTCTAAATGTTGCCAAACATCTTCTGTGGGGCAAAATCTCTTCTGGTTGAGAATCACTGATTAGATAAATAATACTTCCTCCTTATAATTGCTTTGGCTTTGACCAGCCTTACAGATGAGTAGAGGTCCAGCAGCTTAGGTGCCTTAGAAAACCAGGCAGTGAGTATAAAACAGCTGGATCTAAAGAAACTTGTGAGAAGCTTAAAAGTGTAATCATCTGAAGTTCTTTAATCTTTTTTTTTTTTTTAATATATCTTTATTAATTTCAGAGAGAGGAAAGGAGAGAGAGAGAGAAACATCAATGATGAGAGTCATTGATCATCCGCTCCCCGCCTGGGGATCGAGCCCGCTACCTGGGCACGTGCTCTGACCAGGAATCAAACCCCGATCACCTGGGTCCTAGGTCGACACTCAACTGCTGAGCCACGCCCGGCGGGGCTAAAGTTTTTTAATCTTGCCTTTTCAAATTTCCATGGGATTTACTTTGGAGAGGACACCAAAATATTGGTTGAAAATATTGCTAGAAATTGGTGAGGGGTGTTTTTGGGGGCTAAGAGAGAATTGTGTCTCTGAGCTCAAAAGATTAGTTAGAGTATCATATCAATACCAGGAACTGGAAATAAATGTAGTTAAAGATAATGTCTGGTGAGTAGCAGTATTTGTGGTCACTTCTCTAATATTTATCATGACTCTAACCTTCTTCTATTTCAGAAAAAGTTCAAGAACAAGGACTGCAGTCAGAAACTGGGGGCAGCCATGATAATGGCTCAGGAGGCAGAGCAGATCAGTATTCAGGTGAGAGTGTTTCGACCACATACCAGCTCCTCTTTGGGACTTGCAACCCAAAGCAAACCAAGTGTTCTCTACTGTAGAAAACTGGTTTGTCCTTCCCCATTACACAGTCTTAGTCTTAGAACTAGGTAGTCTTTTCTTCCCAGGCCAAATTCCCTTGATTTCTTTTTTTTTTCTTCTTTAATCCTCATCCGAGGATATTTTTTCCATTGCTTTTCAGAGAGAGAAGAAGGGAGAGAGAGAGAGTGATAGAAACATCGATGTGAAAGAGACACATTGATTGGTTGCCTCCCACATGTGCCCCGACCAGGGCAGTGGATCCAGCCTGCAACTGAGGTACATGCCCTTGGCAGGAATCGAACTGGGACCCTTCAGTCCATAGGCCGATGCTCTAACCACTGAGCAAGACCAGCTAGGGCTCCCTTGATTTTTTAACTCATCCATTCTTTTCACTACCCTTGGACAAATGAGGTCTCTCAGCCTAGACAGAGACAGTTTGTGGTAGGGGCCATCCTCCCTCCCTATTTTAACATCAAGTCTCAGATGTATGTACCCTAACTTCTCTTTTATGCGGAGTCAGTTTTTACCCTCAAATTCTGCCTTTTGGGATGGGATGGAAAATGACAAACAGTGAATTTACCCTTCTTAGTTATTTATTGAATTATAAACTGGAAAAGAGATGATAATATTATATAATTATGTATTATTTTACTATAATATTATGTTATAATAGTTAATTTCCACAAAAATCTAGATAAATCTGATGTGAAATTTCAAGTGAAAATGGTATGGAATATAAATACAAATCCCATAACCAAAATCTTGAAGACAGAGGGCAACAATAGTCCCTGGGAGAGTAGTAGATGATGCTTTTGTTTCTTGGTTCCCTCAGGAGCGGGTTAAATTGTTTGGTTTCTGGAGCAGATACAATGGATCTGACAATAATGGGGAAGGAAAAGGTAGGATATGTAGGAGGATGAGGAGGGATTCCTTCATGAAGGCAGCAACTAAAGCTTTTCTTTGTTTTATATCTGGTGTCATCAGCCTAGTTCTAGGTTATATAATAGGAGGCTTCCCATGAATACAATTGGTCCAGTGTTGGAGACAGATGCATGGATGAGTGGAGAGAGGAATGGAGGAAAAAGGGGGCAGGGAGAGAGGGTGCATGTTAGTGACAGGACTCTGAAAAGGGTTGAGCCATGATAATCTAGGGTCATGTTTTATGGGGAAAATACTACTTGGATGTGAAGGGTAGAGTTAGAAGATTGATTCTCTGGGATCAGCTCCATTAACCCACTTATTTTATTAATAAATGATTTAGCTTTCCTTCATATTCCTGAAGTTCTAGACTTAATGCTCTCTGGGGCTAAGAGCCCAGATTCCTCCGTGGAGAAAGAAGAAGCGTCATACTTGGAGGAGGAGGAGAAAGAGAAAAAAGTAAGATTGATCTTTGGGACTCCTTTTAGGAGATTCTTATAGGGCATCTGGTTGGCATGGGCTTATATTTACTAAGGAGCTGTCCTGTCTCTACCTCAGGGTAGCCCTGACTAGTCTTATCTCTTGGGGCCCTCCAGGGAAGGAGACTCTCCTCTTTCCTTGATTATTCTCTCTAATATATCACATCTCTAGGAACTTATTTCTTTTTTTAAATTTTATTGATTGATTGATTTTAGAGAGGAAGGAAGAGGGGGGAGAGAGAAAGAGAGAGAGAAATATCAACTTGTTCCACTTATTTATGCATTCAGTGGTTGATTCTTATATGTGCCCTTACTAGAGATTGAACCCACAACCTTGGCGTATAAGGAGGACGCTCTAACCAACTGAGCTTCCTAGCCAGGGCAACTTATTTCTTGATTATCATCTCAAGTCCTACTGTAGTCTTTTGGTTCTTACTGGAGCAATTTCAGAGAATACCAGGTTGCCTTTCTTTACTCTCCCTTCCCACTATGTGGACACTTAGGATATTCATTCACTTGTTTCCTTAGTCTCTTTTCAGGCACATGAAATATAGATTTGTTTTTCATATTTAAAGAGATTTTTAGAGTGGTGTTCAGTTCATAGCAAAATTGTGAGGGAGGTACAGAGTTCCCATATACCCCCTTCCCCAAACATACATAGCCTCTCCCATTATCATCATCCCCCACCAGAGTGGTGCATTTGTTATGATCACTGAACCTACATTGACAATCATCCAAAGCTTATATTACGGTTCACTCTTGGTGTTGCACATTCTGTGGGTTTGGGCAAATGTATAATGACATGAATCCATCATTATAGTATCATACAGAGTACTTTCACTCCCCTAAAAATCCTGTGTGCTTCACCTATTCATCTCCTTCCTTCCGGTAGCAATCAACCTCTGATAAACACTGATTTCTTTATTGTCTCCATAGTTTGCCTTCTCCAGAATGTCATATAGTTGGAATCATACAGACTGTTCAGACTGGCTTCTTTCACTTAGAATTATGCATTTAAGGTTCTTCCATGTCTTTTCATGTCTCAATAGCTCATTTTCCCCCCTGAATAATGTTCCATTTTCTGTATGTTCCACAGTTTATCCATTCACCCACTGAAGGATATCTTGCTTTCTTCCAAGTTTGGGCAATTATGAATAAAGTTGCTATAAACACCTGTGTACAGGTTTTTGTGGGAACTTAAGTTTTCAACTCCTTTGGATAAATACCAAGGAGCTTGATTGCTGGATCATATGGTAAGAGTATACTTAGTATTGTAAGAAACCACCAAACTGTCCTCCAAAGTGGCTATATCACTTTACATTCCCACCAGCAATGAATGAGAGTTCCTGTTGCCTCACATTCTTGCTGGCATTTGATGTTAGTGTTTTGGATTTTGGGCATTCTAATAGGTTTGCAGTACTATCTCATTTTAATTTGCATTTCCCTCATGACTTATGATGTTTAACATCTTTTCATGTGCTTATTTGCTATCTGTATATCTTCTTTGGTGAGGTTTCCATTAAGGTGTTTGGTCCATTTTTAATCGGGTTGTTTTCTTTAAGAAATTTTTTTAAATTGATTTTTAGAGAGAGAGGAAGGAAGAGAGAGAAACATTGGTGTGGAAGTGAAACATCAATTGGCTGCTTTCTGCACGCCCCCTACTGGGAATTGAGCCCACAACCTGTGTATGTGCCCTGACCAGGAATCCAACTGGCAACCTTTTGGTGCACAGGAGAACACCCAAACAACTGAGCCACACCAGCCAGGGCGGGTTATTTGTTTTCTTATTGTTGAGTTTTATGGGTTCTTTATATTTTACATGACAGTCATTTATCAGATGTGCCTTTTACAAATGTTTTTTCTTAGTCTGTGGCTTATCTTCTCTTTTTTTTGTAGCATCCTACTCTATTAAAAACACAATTATGTGACTTCATTTATTGTTTCTTATTTTTCTCTCCCATACTTAGGTCCCAACTTTGCCCAGTCCCAAGCCAGCCAAAATTCAGACAAAACCCCCCAATGCACGAGGTAAGCAAAGCAGCTGGAAATGATGGGACATGTGTTACAGTTAAGGCGGAGTGGAATCAGAGAGTGTAGGGGCCTGCAGGTAGCTGGAACTTACTGACTGTCTCAGATCTAGAACCTAAGAAAACAGGCAGGACTCGTGCTAGTGTCATTGGAGAAGCTGTAGCCTCCTCACTTCTGTGTGTTGAATTATAAAATCTTAGGAATGAATGTTTTAAACTCTTAGCCAAGACGGATGACTTCCTGGAGAAGGCAAGCTCTGAGGGGAACCATGAAGAGAAGATGATAGGGCTGGGGAGAGGGGAGAAATATTTGGGGGGAAAAAGGAACTGAAAGAATTTACCAGATTAAGATTAGCAGAAGATGTGGGGCAGAGACTTAAATGTGGGGAGTCCATGGACCCTTGACAAGCTGTTATTTAGAGAGAAATAAACAAATGTTCTTCATGGTTAGGGGGTTGGGATAGTGCAGGCATAGCAAATGGACGAGATGGGACTCAGCAAAGGAAGTCAGTGAAGAGATCTCTGGGAAATGAACCTGCAGCTGCTACTATACCCATAAATGGAAGGAAAGAAGTGCATGGGAATTCAGATCCTGACCAGTCAGGTAAGGCTCTGGACTTGGGAAAAAGTTTGGGGAAATAGGGTTCATGTCTGTATCTTCCCTCCCTGGATCATTTTAAAACAATTCTACAGCTTTTCATCACTTTAAAAAGAACAAAAATTAGACCAGAAGGACATCTCTCAAATTGTAGAATGCAGTGCACACTATAGAAACATAGTGGTTGTTGATTTGATTTGGTCCAGAGACCAGAGATGGTAAGGAGATGTAAACTAACATTTATTGAGTATTGCCATGCACTGGCTAGATAGATATGTCCATACTTGTTCCCTTTCATTTTTCCAGTATCTCTATGGGTGGATATTTGCCATTTGTTTTTTTCGTGTTTTTTTAAAAATATATCTTTATTGATTTCAGAGAGAGGAAAGGAGAGGGAGAGAGAGAGAAACATCAATGATGAGAGAGTCACTGATCGAGCCCACAACCCGGGCATGTGCCCTGACCGGGAATTGAACCCTGATTGCCTCAACCGCTGAGCCACGCCCAGCTGGGCTGCCATTTGAATTATAAGGAGACTGAGGCTCAAATTGTTTAAAATTTGCTCAAGTCTCATGTGACTATCATGTGGTTAAATCCATGACTTGAATCCAGGTCTTTTTGCCTCCAAAGCCCATGTCTTCTTATTGAGAAAGGTAATCTTTTCCAGAGGTTTTTTGGAAATAGAAATTTAGGAGTTTGATTTGTAAAAGTTAAGGACAGATGACTTAATAAGACTCTCAGTTTTGTTACTTTTTCATTTAGGCCCTGAGAAAAAATTTAAAGTTTCCCAAAGCAAGGTTTCAGTAACCAGCTTTTCTGAAGAAAAAGAGGTTAGAATGGTGCCAGAGGGCCTGACCCTACCAGCTCATCATGGGGCCTGTCCTATCATGGGGAAAGAAGAGCCTGGATCTCAGAAGCTATAGGAGGCTGGAAGGTTCCTCCCTGATAATGAAGCTTCCAGTGACCTGGATCTTGAGCAACTCACGGAAGATGGAGAAAAGCCAGAGCAGAGGGTGGAGCTGCAGCATAGAGACGACACTGAGGAGTTAATCTTCTTTGAGGAGTAGTTCTGTGCTCTTGTGTTTTTCCCCTCTTACATAGGAGTAGGAGAGAGAGCTTCTCAGAGGGTCCCAGAGAATTGCTGGGATTGGCCATTGTCTACAAGATTAACTGGCTAAAGTCAGAGTTGTATGGTTTATGTGTTAATAAAAATAAGTTACTGGCTTAATTGGTTTGGTTTGTCTCTAACCACATGTTTCCTTTTGGCTTCTCTCCCTTGTCCTCCATGTCATTAACATCATTGTTTCTGGTGGGAGGCCTGCACAGTATAGGAATCTGGGAAGGCAATGACATATGAGTCCTGGGAGAACAACATTGAAAAGGGCAGGTCTGGGTTCAAATCCTGACTTACTGTTTATGAGCTGTGTGGCCTTGGGAAAGGCACTATATAACCATTCTGCTTCTTCATTTAATGTCTCAAATAAGCACATTCAATAGCATATAGGGTTGTTAACGTCTAAATGAGGTGATGCATAACACAATACATGCCACTTATCATAAGGGAAGTAGAATGGTTAGACTGCGGGGCAGACCTTCCTTTCCAGGCTGTCTACCAGTGTTTGGAGAGGTATTGTTTCCAGGTCTGAGGCAGTCGCTGAACTAGAGGAGGAATCTTGGGTGTGAGCTTTCTATTATAGTTCATTTTTGGTGAGAAGGTCAGAAGTTGAAGGTGACATCAGTTTTCCCCTTAGATGCATTCAGGCAAATCCTTCAGATATTTTTATTTTTGTGGGCAAGGGAGGGAGTTGAGGGAACTAGAGCAGGTGGCTGTTTTTCTCAGGTTCTTGGTGGCCTTTGACACCTGCTGGCTTCTGAGTCATCTGTGTCTGGCTGGGATTATTATGGGAAGTGATGGTCCCTCTGCAGCTTCCTCTAAGGAAGTCATCATTCGGTCACACTCCTTAGGCCTTTAGGATAGAGTATACGGTCTCTTCCTGGGGGTTCTTGTGGAGATGGTGGCTGGGAGGTGCTGATGGTGAGGTTGGGCTGGAGAGGGCAAGGGAGGCATAGAGGATGCCATCAACCTGGGTAAGAAGAGAAAGAGAAGAGGGTTAGAAGTAGAGGGGACCTGACCTCATCTTAGAGCAGTGATCCCACACCTGAGTGCCCTGCTGATACCACAGTCCATTCTTTCCACCCCAACTTCTCCAAGCTTCCCTTTAATTCTTTCAGGCTCTAGTCTGAGCCGCTTACCTTTGGGTCCAGCTTGGAGTCTCTATGTTGTCCTAGGAAAAAAATCAAGATGTGTCAGAGTCAGGTGGCATGGCAGCCAGGGTAGAGAAATGGGCAGAGGGCTCAGCAGTGAGGTCATCTGCTAGGTCAGGACCAGGGTGGGATGGATGGGTGAGGCATGGGCAAGAGGGAAATGCTGAGGGGCACATGTGCAGGAGGGAGTGGGCGGGGAAGAAGGAAAGGCCAAGGTGGAGAGTGGCGGGTGATGGTGGTAGAACTGACCTTTATGCCCAATGTTCTCATACTTCTCCTCAGTGTTATGGAAGGATCCCCTGCATGGGAAGGAAAGGGTGGGAACTGTGTTAGAGGCTGGGCAGAAAAGAGTTAAAACCTGCATCAGGCTGGTTCTCTTGTAGGGGCCTCTGCGACCTGCTTGGACATACTCAGAAGATATAGGCAATGGTTTGAGGCTCTCAGACGGAGGCTGCCTGGGAACTGAGAGGCAATTTGTGGTGTAGCCCAGGAGAGGTCCCTGAGTGCCAACTGAAGGAGGACTGTTCTAGGGAAGCCTCTTTTGTAGGAAGAGGGCACCAGAGGAGAAATAGGAAGAGTGAGCTCCTGTCCTCTCTGCTGGCACTGCCTCGGTTAAAACTGAAG